AGTGTCGAAGGGAAAATGGCAATGAGAATTTAATCAAATGAAAAAATAAGGGTGGAAAGATGGCCTAATAGTAAGTGGAAAACTGTTAACAAATTAGGAACTGCGTTTGTGCTTGAGTTAGAGCTAGAGCGTCGATAATTCAAGACAGCTGAGTGTGAGATCAGGCTTAACCGACCAGTAGCTTTATAGTGAATACCCGAAGATGTGTATCGGATGAATAACACACCGTTTGGCACGGGAGAATTGTTTTCGACGTTTTCCGAATTGGACGATTTTTGACGAGATTTTTCCATTTGAGGAGATTATCGCCAACAATTTCCCACAGAAAGTGTGATTTTTAGACGTTTTACGCTGCACGTTTTTACCACGTCCATTCAGAATCGAGTATTTGAAGTGTTAAAATAGCGAAACCCCGAATAATTTATCGGTAGCACCAGAGGTGGGCAGTAGTGTGGTGTTCCACTATTCCGCTACCAGCGATATAGATATTCCACTGTTTATGAAAACTGAATATTAAATCGTCACTGACGGGCATGTTCAGTGCTGAAGATCCGGTTGTGTAGATTTGAGTATCAGTTTTCAAACAATGTCATAATCAGCTCAACTGAACGCTTAGGTTTCAGTGATCACGTTACTGATGTGAGTTAGATCAAGATCCAAATCAGAGGCGTTCTGTTAGGCTAGGCAGAATAAACGGTGCCTATGTTGGGCCTGGCTCGGAGTTCCCTTTGACTTAATTTATTGCTGGCAATAGAGGGCTGGTATTGAAGATTGCAAAACCGGATGGTTTTCCGGCTTTTGAAACAATTTCGTATTTTCGGGTTTTACAATAATGACTACGAAAACGCTGACCAGTTAAAACGTCGAGCAACCGAACTATCGACTGAATGCAATGCCCAGCAGTTGCTGTTACTGATATATCGGTAGATTTTTTAACTCACAATGCTAATTTTCAAAATTCTGTTGGAAATCCTTCGGAAGACATGTCAACCTTGAGACCGATCCTGAGTCTAAGCTTAAAGCTAAGCCTAAGCGATAACCTAGAATTGGATTCGCGTGTGCCGAAACTGTGGTTTCAACAGTCGTTTATGATTCACTAAAAAGTTTTGCGTTGCTCTGCAATACCAACTATAAGATAACTATACGAGCTTATGCGATAAGCAGTTCTTAATGACCTCACGTGATAGCATACTCAGTCAAGTCAGCACTGAATTGCCAAAGGCGATAATTAAAGTAAAATATCGTGATTGATTGCATTAGGTCTCACGTTTAGGCTCGGGCTCATATCGACGAACCATCTGTTTACTTGATAGACATCTCATTGCGTAGAATCATCAGTTCATTCAATAGATGCTTCAGCCGAGTACAAGATTCAACCTGAGCCTAAGTTCAAATGTAATCTATCGTCGTTTTTCAGGTTGACTATCGTCATTTGTTTTCCAAGTTATTCAAAAAAAACTTCTTTCGGCACGATGTCTGCAGTGAAGTCCATGTAACTGCAGTTATCTTTATTCCATAAGTACTCTCATTATATGTGGATGAAGTTATTAATATCATCATGATTATTATCCTGTTCAGAACGTCTACGATACCAGTTTCATCGCCTGATTTCGGTGTCATTTGAATGTTTTAATTGATATCCAGCTAGTTCGCACGCATAGACGCATATAATTTGGCGAACTGTCAGTAGCCGTTGCGCTCTATGATGAAACACCATTACACGAAAGTCTGTTTTGATTGCAGACACGGGTTCCATATGTGCTAGTTCGAGTCAAGACTTTCATACTCCTTTCCTAGCAATGGTGGGCCAGATGAGTAAACTGCCTGAAATTCGAGATAAGGAGATTGACGGGTTTACGACAATTTTCTCCACGACAAGTGCCAATTTGACGATTTGCGTGTACCTCATCATTGAGTAGCGTGGTGCTTTTTGTCGGAGTTAGACAAGTCGTAGATGCATTTGTCGGTCACATGCATAAACGTCTAGACATGTGACATCTAAATACTCGCATTCATATCTAAGTGTTCGTCTAGTGCCTCTTATTCATGCAGTAAATAATTTCTGTACATGTTCAAACTGTTTACCTTAAAGTTTCCAGTGCTGTCTGTGACTGTGTTTGATCCAGTTCGAGTATCACCATTCAAGAACAAACTGATTTTTATTCGTTTTTCAGCTGATAATCATCTGGCATAAATGTGGGCGTTGGCTCGAGCGTCATCTTGTAGTGTTCTGCGGTCACCGTTATTCCAGTCTCGAACACATGCATCGTTGATACGAACACTGATGACACGGTCGCAAGGCCCAAGTCGCAATCGTGATGCAATGTACTATATCGTAAGCCTGGGTGTTGTTGCCGTTGGGGTAACATTCGCTGCAATTCCTGCGTATCGAATATTCTGCGAGAAAACTTCTTTTGGTGGACTCACTCAGGTTCGCTTTTAGAGATGCGCAAACATTGAATTGGGCACTCTAATTTGATTTCCATGAACTTGGATAATTGTGGATGTGTTGTAGAGATGGCTCCTCATTTCTGATCCCTAGTGTCCTGATCGTCGATCATTTTCTTCATTATTTTCTCCCCACCATTTGAAGCAGTTAACTGTTGGAATTGTTCATTAAGCAGATTCCTTGTCGATTTAATGTTTATGTCTGATCACTTGGATAAATTTTTTAGTTTATTGCCGTTTGATTTCAGATAGCCAAAGATTTTGATCGTATTGCATCAATGGAAAAGGTTGAGGATCGTCTAATTCGTGTACAGTTTAATGCTGATATCCCATCTTCAATGCGCTGGCAATTCAAGCCTCTTCAACATGAGATTTATGTTCATCCTGGTGAGACAGCGTTGGCATTCTATACAGCCTACAATCCAACCGACAGACCTATCGTTGGGATCAGCTCATATAATTTGACGCCTTTCCAGGTGATTTATATTGATTATTTGACCACTGCCCAAATAATATTAGGTGCGGTGAAGTTTCAAGTGAGTGATGATTATCAAATGAAACAGTTTTTAAGATCGGATGTTGCCATGCTGACTGCAAATGAAGTGGATTTCAGGCTGCCTATTACTTCAACAAGATTCAGTGCTTTTGCTTTGAAGAACAGATTCTGAACCCGGGTGAAAAAGTAGATTTGCCTGTTTTCTTTTATATCGATCCAGAGTACGCAAATGATCCAGCGTTGGAATATCTGGATAGTATACTGCTCAGTTATACATTTTTTGAAGCAAAGTCAGGTGAGTATTTGAAAGTGCAAGAAGTTCATANCTGGATAGTATACTGCTCAGTTATACATTTTTTGAAGCAAAGTCAGGTGAGTATTTGAAAGTGCAAGAAGTTCATACCATAGACGATGAAAAAATTTAAAGAAATAAGCTGTTGCACAAAAATTTCCGTTGTTGTAATCTTATCGACTGAATTTCTGTTGTATGCGTAAGAATTGAATTTACAATGTTTGTGGTTATATTCGTTACAATTATGTTGGTGTTGTTATCATTTTTGTAATTTGAACTGAATTTCACCAGTTACTCACTGGCACTCGTTTCATTTGTTGCTTATGATTCCTCGCGAAAATTCATCGACAATTGCTATTACTCTGTCATGTTGCAGATTTGGTTCTACCGAGTCCGTTCGATCCCAAGAATCGACCGAGTGTTCAGGGCTTTCCTGAACCAAAAAATCCGAATAAACAAACCAAGAATACCTCAAGCTTAATTGAAGAGGGCGTTCCGAGGAAGAAGACTCAAAGTATACCGAAATCACCCCAAGCATCCTTGTCGAAAGGAGAAGCCTAGCATCTAGACAGCAGTGAATAAATCTCGTATAACACAACGTTGCGTGCATGTATGNNAGATTATTCGAAGGCCAGTACCTACTGCGAGTTCGGTGTAATCGGAGGCTATTTTTCCATCTTTTTGTAATCTTAATTTTGAACATTTTACGTGATGACAACTTGATGTTGTATTTCTATTACTTGTATTTATTTATACTGATATACACGCTGATGGATCCGATTTTGTATTGACGTTCTATTGAAGTGTATTCCTCACTTCTGAAGCACAATTGCTAAACGAACTTCCAAATTATCACTCTTGCTTCTTCGTCTGATTTATTTTAGGTATTTTGATGTGCTACATTTTAGACTTTTCACTTGTGTTCGTTAAAAAAGTATCCAAACTACGAAATGTTTCTCATATGTTTTTGTATTTCAGCATTCTGCTGATACATTCTATGATAAGGGTTCATGCCGTTAAATTTTCAATGTGTTTTGCATATGATAATGGCAATCACCGCATTTGTCGATTCGATCAGTTATTGAGATTTAGCCATTAAAATTGTATCATATTAACGCACCGATGATCTGTGACATAATAAGCAAATTGATTTGTTGGAGTGTTGCAAGCGTTGTGTTCTTTTTTTTTGGTTTATCTGATATATGCTGGATTGGAGTGTCATTAGATTTATGATAATTGCATGTTGTGATTGATCATGTTGAATGCATAATGCAAGTGACAAAGTGTTATGTTTATTGAAATCCATGAAAGTCAACTAGAAATAAAGTTCTCAAAGGTGTGACTGAAATATCGCACTGAGATCTCCTTTATCGCAGTAAATTACGCTCGGCATAGTTGTTAGAAGCTCACCCGTATACACTCGTGAAATATTTCTCCTTTCTTCCATCAAAATGTTTGTACAATCTGAAAATGAAAGGTTGCACTGAAGAATGATTCCATTTGATGTTGTTGAATACGGATACCAGCGGAAAAAATCAGCAATCACACGAATATGGATTCGTTGTCAGGGTTGTGAATCAATCGGAATCGCTGGGATATGAGAATTTGACTAGAAACATGAGGAGAATAAGAAGTTAAGTGACAATGTGATTTTGAAAAACTGATGGCAAAAGGGTACGATCAGGATGAGATTCGAACTCACGCGGGGAAACCCCAATGGATTAGCAGTCCATCGCCTTAACCACTCGGCCACCTGATCACGCCTGTCAATTGCGTAGTAGATCTACACTAACCTAATGCTTTACATTTCAATAGAATCATGAACTTACGCATCTAGTGAACTTTATTGATTTTCAGCAGTGACCTTCCTTTCCTGCGATGAGTTCTCCGTGGTTCCAAACCTATCAGTCCCATTGACTGTCAAAAGATGATTCTCCTGGAAACATAAATTCAGTGTATCATCAATTGCGCTAAAAACACGAAATTAATAGAGCCTGCATGAAGTGGACATTGCTTATGAGCACTTCTAGATGGCATCTTTTAAATCATTCAAAACAGTCTCTGATTAATTCCCAACGAAGTCATCAAAAGACAGCTGAAATTTCTCTTCGTCTTTCTATTAGCAGAAACATTTACTAAACAGTAACTTTGGATCCGTCATATTTTAATACAACACTATCAAACCAACCAAACTGTTGGCCGTATTGAAGGAATTCTGCTGGATTGTCTCGGATTCTTGCTGGACTTTCCCTTTATAGGCATATCCGTCGTAACAACTTGTACTAGCATCTGAAGTATGCAAATTCTGCTCCCTCAACGTTTTCTTTGAATCGCTGCTCTTTGCCCACCGCTCTGACCGAGAATTGCTTGTTGAATCGTTGGTTCTACAATGGATACCTTCTGAGAGTGCTTTTGTTGACTGTGCTTGTATTTTCGTATGTCGAGAATTTCGATGCGCAAATTGTGAGTGATATTGCTTTCCGATCACAAGCGGCCAAAATCGTAAAGGATTTCGAGTGAACTTCTAACTGGGATTTGCAAGGGATCCGGGTTTTTTTAACCTTAATACAGACGTTTATGTTGTGGAAAACCCCGAGATTTCCAAATTTGATGAAATACGGCATTTTATGTAATTTTGATGATACACTCATCTTCAATTACACCGAGATCATTCGCAGTTCATTCATATTCAGTCATATTTGTCGTTTGATATTCAGGCGGTAACGGATGAATTAATCGTTACATAATAGCTCCACTTCGATTTTCGTTTTTCAGAATGTTGTGAACCAAAATTCCGCGATTTCATCAATCTTGGTTCGTTGCTTTTTTTCCGTTTATGATTATTTTGCAATCCCGAGATTGATGAGTGATCGGGATTTTGGAAACACTCGTTGTGATGGCATATGAAAAATGAATAGCGATTGAACATCCAACGTAAAATATGGACTTACGAGTGATCTTTACGAACAGAAACTTGT